AGCAAAGGTAAAGCCAGTGCTGAGCAAAGGGGATCCAGGGTCATCATGGCAACCGGTATCACTTAGGACACAGGAGGCAGCAGCATTGTGCCGGAGCTGGAGCGTCTAGGTGCTCTTAGAAAGCAGCAGAAAGTAAAGTTCTTCCTCAGTAGATCTCATCTATTTTAGCTGCTTCACGGGCCCTGACTGGGGGATTCCACCTAGAATTATTTGACATGTGAGACATCGCTACCAACCAACATTTTAAGTTAGTTGGCAAAAAAGTCTCTTGAACAGCCGTCTCCAGCTCCCACAGCATCAGTTAATTTGCTGAACCCTCGTGGTAGATCAGGTTCAGGTAGCGTAAGAGTTTATATGCTAAAGCTCTGTAGACTGTATCAAAGGATGCTTTTGGTAGGGGAGGAAAATCTCTTTACCTACTCACAACTATAAACTCTACCGAAGGGCAGGAACTTACCACTTGGTGAGTTGAGTAAGCTCATTTTATCCAGAACTTAGGAACAAACACACAAGGAAAAACATCATGACAACAGTTAGGAGCATGTATTGTACTTTGGAAGGAGACACACACACAACTCTGTCTTCCACAGAATACATAGATGGGCCCTCCTGCTCTATCGCATTGAATGTGCACTGCCCTGGGACAGACTGATTACACCAAGAGGACTGAATGAGGATAACAACAGATACTGACAGTGCTCGGGAGTTCAAAATCCAGTGATTGAGACCGATAAAATCTGCTCTTCGCGCTTTACATAAGTTCATTTTTAATTTAAATTTGCATTTTTCATTGAACGCTATGAGCTAATTTGAACATTTGAATTTAAAATAAAGGCAACAAGAACTATAAGGACTGAATTTAGTTTAAAGCCAGTTTTGATTACAATTGTTGTAGGCTTGTAGAAGGCAAATTAAAGAGCATTCAGAGTAACGCTTACTTAGAAAACTAGAATCTCCACAAGGCAGGATCTTTCAAAGCCACATTCAGAAGAGGGCTAATGCATGTTACAAGTTTTCAGGTCTACTGCACCATCCATATGCATGGACAAGGTGCAATTATACAGAACTACCCCCTGTTGCTCGTCAGCCTTCCTTTAGCTCCTCACTATAAAATCCTTCTCAGCCCACTAACTTCTCCTGTACCAACCACAGGCCACACCAAAGACCACCCTATAAAAGGGGTGCTCTGCATGTGTATACCCCTTACCGTTATTTTTTCTGCACCAGTGTGCTAGGCAGTGTACAAGACACAATTGCAAACCAGTTCTCAACCGGAGAAACTTACAACTGAGAAGATACTGAGACAGGTTCCAGGATGCATTGTGATAACTGGACCAGCAAATTTACTCTAATCGTGAGCTCAATCATTAAAAGTATATGACAGTTCATAATATGTCACAATAACCTGAAACAGCAAATACTGATGGAAAACGCTACAGGGAGAGAGACAAGTCTAAACAAACGGGACTAGCGATATGGTTCAATGAGGATGTTAAAATCGTGCTTCATGAAAACAGAAGATGTGGAACCGGAAATTAATAAACCAAAACTGGTATGTCAGATACGAGGTCTAATTTGTGGACAAAATGATGAGGGGATGGGCTATTCCATACACCATTCCCGTTGTGGGTCTTTAACGAAAGAGACTTGGGGGTGAGGCAGAGGAAGAACAGACAGAGGCTACAGGTGCGAGCTTCATTATCATGGCTGCCACTCCCACCACCTCCTAGGACCCTAGGCCTTTATCACCCTCATCCTGACTTGACCCAAGCTAATGACAGAGGGACCCAGACAACATCATCACCCCTGCCAGCACCAGCAGAATCCCAACCACCGCCAGCAGGAAACAGGATTGAACTTTAACAGCAGCAGCTCCAGCCCGTCTAAGGGTACGTCTACACTTACCGGAGGGTCCGGCGGCAGGTAATCGATGTTCTGGGATAGATTTATCGCGTCTGGTTTAGATGCGATAAATCGATGCCGGATCGATCCCGGAAGTGCTCGCCGTCGACGCCGGTACTCCAGCTCGGCGAGAGGAGTACGCGGCATCGACAGGGGAGCCTCCCTGCCGCGTCTGGACCCGCGGTAAGTTCGGACTAAGGTACTTTGAATTCAGCTACGTTATTAACGTAGCTGAATTTGCATACCTTAGTCCGAAGTGGGGGGTTAGTGGGGACCAGGCCTTAACTAACTTCTTCTCTTTTCCCCAAAGAGACAGTTATCACCATCTTTGATACCATCTAAGGAGACTGTCATGCAAGGGTTTTTTCCTTCTAAAACTCCCTCCAGCTAAAGGGAAAGGGAGCAAGGGATGCTGTGAAAATGAAAGCCTTACTTAATACTATACTTTTTAAGAGCAGGTTAGACAAACATCTGTCAGGAATGGTTTAGATAATACTTAGTCCTGCCCTGAGAGCAGGGGACTGGACTAGATGACCTCCTAAGGTCCCTTCCAGTTCTATGATTCTACACATTTCAAATGATTTAACTGTTTTTCCTTCTTTTCTTTATCTTTAATGAAAAGCTAAGAGGATGTTTAATGGTGTGTCTGCCATGGTACTCAGTGGGCTGAGGTCTCTGTATGCCAAGCCCCAGACCTTGCTTAACACTGTTTAATGTTGGACAGTGACTGGGTTATGTTAACACTTTTGGCCCTTTCTTCCATCTAAGTTAATACAACAGATGCACTAGCAAAACCCAGAGGGCATGCGAGCCCGGGCTGTTTAATAATATTATAATCATTTCATCCTCTTCTCCTCCAATGTATTATTGTGGTTGAGGAGATATTACTGCGTTCATGTTGTGGGCCTTGCAGAAGAAGTGGGCCTGTAGGTAGGATTTGTACCAGAAGTGACTGAGAGGGCATTCCACCTGTGAGACAGCATGGAAGATGCATCAAGAGGGAGTGGGTCACTGGCAGAGTGAAAAGACTGAAGAGGGACAAAGTATTCGGAGAAGAACCAGGAGGCAGAGTTATGCCTGGCACTGACAATCCAATGGAGAGATTCAGTCAGATCAACAGGCAGAATAATTTAATAATAAATACAATTTTTAGTAGCTTCACTTTGGATGTCCTGAAGAGGAATGATTATGGGAGGGCAGAGGGGAGGGGGAGGTTCCAGCGGTCGAAGTGGGAGGTGACCAGTGGGGGCGGGGGCGGGGGGATGGAAATGTAAGCCATCAAGATGGAATGGAAGAACCAGAATTTCAAAATGTTGTGGAGAAAAAAAAGTGATAGGAGTTGTTGGGAACCTGGCTCTGCCGTTAGCATCTCTGAGAGCTTCCAATCTACGATGATCAGTGACTTAGAGAAATATAGACCAGAGACATGTCACAGACATACCAGATATGCATTTGATTTACAGATTAAAACATTTTAAATTTTATCATGAATAGCTAAACGACAGCTGTCTGTCTGCTCCCCAATCCAGTCGTCATTCATCAGCTGATTTCTCCACCGATTTTAAGGTCAGAAGGGATTACTGTGACCATCAAATCTGACTTCCTGCATCATCTCACCCAGCAGTCTTTGCATCCAGCCCACAATTTATGGTTGAGCTAGAGCACTTCTTCTATAGGCATCGAAGCAATGGTGAGTCTTGAGGAGGGATTTGACGGAGAAGAGAACAGTTATACAGATCGGTTCTGGGAAGACCATGCAGGAGGTGACATAGGTGGTGTTGGAACAATAAATATAGCATACATGGATTGTCAGATGCAGATGGCATAGGCACCTTCTGTTTTCTAACAGTAGCCCCTGATTAAAGACACTAACGACCTGGCCCTGTAAGATGCTGAGCAAACTTTACTCCCAATGCAGGCGCATAAGGCAATGGAAGTTGAACGCACTCTACATCTGGCAAGATTGGGCTCAAAGATTATAGAAGGTAAATTCAGTAATCTATTAAACCTTTAAGAATAAAAGGAGTTCTGGAAGTAACAGGACTCTGCTCTGGGAGTGATCTGGCCTCTGTGTGCATAACCCCCATTTCTGGAGATGCTAAAACTCCTAAGGATGAGTCTGCCTTGACTATTGGAAGATGGAGACCAGATTCCTAGGAGCCCACCAAAAGCCTCTTAGATGTTTCTTACACTGAGCTGCCTTCACAGTGAGAGGTTTGAAAAGGATAACCTGCCTGCCTGCATTTGCATCACTTAACTCACAGGGGGAAAGAGACTGGTGCTGAAGTTCTCGGAGCCGGAATGGCAGAACCTTCCTATTCCTGTTCATACCAGAAGTAGATTTCACCACCAGCCTGCTTGAGTCAAGGTGGACCATGGTGTGCTGGGATCAGCACACACTACAAGCTGTGGCTCCATCATATTCCAGGTGAGGATGGCGGAAGTCTGTTCAATTTTATATACAAGGCGTAGCCCTTCTCAGGCTCCTGGGTGAAGTCTGGGAAACTTGTGCTGTGAGTTACCACAGAGAAGGTAGTGTTCACGGAGAGAATGCAGCACACGCAGGGATTTCCCAGATGTGGGAAACTTCTCAAGAACTTCTGCTACTCACTGCAGAACCTCACCCTATACTAAGACACCACCACAGTGCAGTTTTCATTTCTGTAGTTTCCATTGCAAATATTTCAGATAATTAATGGGAATTTAAAAACAATTAGTTTTCAAGTTCCGCTCCAAGCAACTCTGTCCAGCAAGTTGTCAAGTGAGCAGCCAAATGCAGAGGAAATAGGATAATCCTGCTGCATTGCCTACAACTTGCATGGGAAAGCTAAGCGTCACTTTCCATTTATTTTTTTGATTGCAGTTTGGAGGTTTTGATGACTGAAGCTTCCTAGGGATTAAAATGCTGTGTGGTCGAGTTTTCCACTTCCTACTGGCATGTAAACAGCATTTCTGATGTGCACTGGAAAACTACTTGAGACAGTTATACAAAACGATCACCAGGTCAGACTTTTCCTTAAGTACTAGTCACATGGTATCGACTAGGAACAAAAAGTTAGCAATCCTAGGGTAAGAGCTTACAGCTTACGCTCTCCTACCTTCCATGGCATATTTCATATCCTGGGCAAAAAGGTTCCACATGACTTCAGCACTGACCTTCCCAACAGTGAGTTCCTGAGGAAACCTGAATGGGGGAAATCCAGAGATAAGGCTTTAATAGCTTAAGAATAAGGGGCATTTTCATTCAGCTCTGAGTTAAACTATCTACTGAAAGGTTCAACACAACAGAAATTTCCTTCATCCTGCGAAGATAAAAGGCAGATATCTGGAAAGTACCAACTGGACTCTGTGCTATAGATAAAACAGATTGAAAATATCCCTGCTATTGTAACTGTGTTTTTAATCTAAAAGACTAGCTATTGCACGGCTGTTCTCTAAAAGTACTACATACTGTAATTCTGTAGTATTACGTCAAAATGTTTATCCCTCTTATACCTTTTTTCTTTTCCCCTTACAAAACTAGGTTCCTTTTCACTGTTGGGATTAGTGTGTATCAGGTGCACCTGCAATGTTAAGATCTAAAATCCCTAATGTGTAATCTGCCCCTTTGTCTTCAGGATACATGGTGGGTTGCTGGAGACATCGGAATGAAGAGCATCTGACATCTTACTCCCCAAGGAGTAGAAGTGGCTCTTTTTGCCATTAACAAAGCCATCCCCACCCACTGAACTCTCTCGGTTCAGCACAGAACATGGACACACCTAAATCACAGCACAAACTGTGTGTGTTAGAAAAGTGCATCCCAGAAAACTGTACAAGAAAAAACAACTCTCACCCCATTTTCAGGTGTCTCACTGAGTTCAGGATTGTAATAACCAAGGTGAATGGGTTCGAACTCCATCAAAACTGAACCTTTTGAAACTCTTCCATCCCAATCAAAAAGAATTATTTATATAGACAAATAAGACAGAAAGACAGACAGACAAGATAAGTATTCTCTATAAATACACAAATCACAGAAAAGATAGAAGACAGTTTCACAAATAAAGCAGAACAGAAAGAGTCTACTTCTAGCATTAGCCATAAAGAACATGGAGGATTCTTACTGGTTCAAGACAGGGGTATATGAATTTTTATCCTCTTCTATAATGGAAACTATCAGAGTGATGAGTTTAGGCCAGAAATCCAAGTTCCTGATGCTGGGGCCTTGCTCCTCAGGAGGAAGGTCCTGATTTTTGTTCTGGAAAGGAAGCCGTGAGAAACTAAATACTGAGTTTAAACAAATAGGACTTCTTATCAGGCCTGCAGGTTTCCTGTGAACTGCACATGCTGTATCCTTTGCCACTTTCTTCTGACGGTTCCATAATTATGGCTCTGTCTTGGCAAGTGACCTGATCTAACACAAAATATCATAAAATGCAGACTATGCTGCTAAAAGGGAAGCCTGGCACAACTCTGGGATTAAAATGGCCACTTCTTTGTTCTTTACTGCATTGGGACCAGGGACATGCTTATGGATATCTCATGATGTGCTTTCTTGCCTAAACTATTTCTAATCGGATCACTGATATTTACTAATATATCCACAACGACAAGCAATGCATCACTTCATGTCATCTGCACATTACCAAACTCTGACATTATGGCAAATGGAACAATTTTGATCAATGACACTATAGTGTAGAGTTGCCCCAACCACCACACATGATCCGCAAGCGATAAACTAGATTCAGTAAAACAAGGTAGAACTCTGCCTGGAGAGTCATGTAATTTAAACCCTATTTCTTCTGTTAGCTTAGTATGCGTTCTAATTAGCTGTTGCTGAATAAATATTATATAAAATCTACTCTTTCAATAGTCTGCTCTAATCATGGAATAAAACATCTGTGGCTTTTGAAAATGATCTCTAAGCAATTAGTGACAGTAAAACAATTATCCTCTTTCATTCACCGCAATTAATGCTCATCAATTGGCTACAGCTGATGTGCATTCAGAAGATCACAGGCCACAAAATTTAGTCTGTGCTGGCTTATCTTCAGATATTATTTACTACATTATCTCAAGCCACTCAGCCTTGATTTTTGCACATCTATCCAATTACTCACGGGATCTGTCTGGTACTCGCGACTATACAGTTCATGGCAATTGTTGAAGATGTATTCATAGGTTGAGTTGAGACAGGCCTTCACACAGTCCTTCACTACTTGGCTGGCTCGAGGTGGGCTCTGTAGTTCTTGAACCTGGCAGGAAGCAGGAGTAAAGTTAAAGAGATACTGCTCATGCATCATAAGAGGAAGAGGGCATTAACCAAGGACTTGAGAGAGACTGGTTCAATTCCCTGTGCTGCCCCAGTGACCTGTGAACCTGAACAAGTCACTTAGTGTCTCCGAGCCTCAGTTCCTCAACTGCAAAACAGGGATAACAGCCCGGCCCTACCTCACAGGGGTGTTGTGAGCATAAACAACATTCAAGATTGTGAGGCACTCAGATATTATGGTCATGGGGACCAAATAAGGAGTTAAACTCGATAGCTGTATCTAGAAACATAGGTTAGAAGTGCAAGACACACAGTACTGCTATATGAGGTTCAAGGGACTTCTTCATGAAATCAGGACACAAACATCAAAGTCTCTCCCACTGTAAAAGACAGTCCAGAGAAAGACTCCATCAGAGCTCGTGACATTTGATCAGCCAAGAGTTCCTAGAACGCCTCATGTTATTTTTTAAAATTCACAATGGTGCTTTTTAATTCAGGAATTTACCTGACCTCTTTGCTAACAAACTTTAAAACGTGGATTAGAGCCATTAATAATAGTGTGCAGATGTGTACAGATTTTTCCCTCTTGCAGCCCTCATTCTTTTCCTTTATATAGTTATTATTCTACCTCACACTCACAATGCACATCTATTCTAAAAGGCTTTGCATGCATCAGATCTGGGATAATACCATGTCCTGGAACAAATTTGGTTGTTCAAGCGGAGTGCCCCAAGGGTTGG